CCAGCCACATACACCTAAGGTGGCAGGTTCGAATCCAGCCTGGGCCCACCAAACAACAATGATGGCTGCAACCAAAAAATGGCCAGGCGTTGTGGCGGGCGTATGTAGTCCCAGCTACTAGAGAGGCTGAGGCAGGAGAATTGCTTATGCTCAGAAGTTTGAGGTTGCTATGAGCTGTAACGCCATGGCACTCTACTGTGGGCGACAAAGTGAAGCTCTGTCTCAAAAAAGAAAGTCAGAAGTAATTCTTTGTAATCCCAACATTCTGGAAATACCATCACAATTACAATTTCAATTTCGTAACATTTTCTGTTTTTTACATTTGTGTTTCCCAAAGTGGCAGTAGTGGTAGTACATGTAAAATTTTGATTCTTACAATGCTTTATATTCTCTCTTTTTTTCCCCTTTGAGACAGAGTCTCACTTTGTGGCCTTCAGAGTGCTGTGGCATCACAGTCCACAGCAGCCTCCAACTCTTGGGCTTAAGTGATTCTGTTGCCTCAGCCTCCCAAATAGCTGGGACTACAGGTGCCTGCCACAGTGCCCTGCTGTTTTGTTGTTGTGGTGGTGGTGGTGGTGGTTGCAATTGTCATTGCCGTTTTAGCTGGCTGGGGCCGGGTTTGAACCTGCCACCCTCAGTATATGTGGTCGGCGCCATACCCACTGAGCCACAGGTGCCACCTGCTTTGTATTCTTTATATTACTCTTATAGTTGTGAAAGTAATTTATTTCCTCCCTTTGAGGAAGGAAACACTAATTGTCTTTGGAAGGTATTAGAATGATTGTTTCTAGGAAATAAAGGCCTAACGTCTAAAAGAGCAGAAGCTCTGTTTTTTTTTGTTGATTTTTATTTTTTGAGACGGAGCCTCAAGCTATCCCCCTGGGTAGAGTGCCATGGCATCATAGCTCATAGCAACCTCCAACTCCTGGGCTCAAGCGAGTCTCCTGCCTCGGCCTCCCAAGTAGCTGGGACTACAGGCGCCCACCGCAACGCCTGGCCATTTTTTGGTTGCAGCCATCTTTGTTGTTTGGTGGGCCCGGGCTGGGGATTTGAACCCGCGACCTTAGGTGTATGTGGCTGGCGCCTTAGCTGCTTGATGTTTTTTTTTTTTTTGAGACAGAGTCTCACTATGTCATCCTCTGTAGAGTGTTATGGTGTCACAGCTCATAGCAACCGCAAGCTGTTGGGCTTAAATGATTCTCTTGTCTCAGCCTCCCAACCAGGCACACCTGGCACAGTGCCCTGCTATTTTTTTTTGTTGTTTTGGCGTAGTTAACCATTATTTAGGAGGCCCCAGCTGGGTTCAAACCCACCAGCCCTAGAGTATGTGACTGGTGCCCTAGCTGCTTAGCTATTACAGACACTGAGCCAGAACAGAACTTTTTTTTTTTTTTTTTGAGACAGAGTCTTACTATGTCATCCTCAGTAGAGTGTCATGGCATCACAGGTCCCAGCAACCTGAACCTCTTGGGCCCAAGTGATTCTCTTGCCTCAGCCTCCTGAGTAGCCGGGACTACAGGTGCCTGCCACAGTGCCTGGCTATTTGTAGAGCTGGGGGTCTCCCTCTGGCTCATGCTGGTCTCGAACTCCTGAGCTCAGGGAATCCACTCGCCTGTGCCTCCCAGCGTGCTTGCATTACAGGTGTAATCACCAGGCCCCAACTTCCTTTTCTTTTCTTCCCTTTCTTTTTTTCTTTCCTTTCCTGTCTCATTTTGTAGCCCTGGGTAGTGTGCCTTGGTATCATAGCTCAATGCAACCTCCTCAGTCTCCTGAGTAGCTATCTGGGATTGCAGGTGCCTGCCAGAATCCCTGGCTTTTTTGTTTGTTTCAGAGACAGGGTCTCACTCCTGCTTATGCTGGTCTTGAACTCCTAAGCTCAGGCAGTCCACCAGCCTTGGCCTCCCAAGAGTGTTAAGAGCCACCATGACTCGCCTTTTTTTCATTTATTTATTTATTTATTCATTTGAGACAGAGCCTCAAGCTGTCCCCCTGGGTAGAGTGCTATGGCATCACAGCTCACAGCAACCTCCAACTCCTGCGAGTTCTGTTCTGGCTCAGTGTCTGTAACAGCTAAGCAGCTAGGGCACCAGTCACATACTCTAGGGCTGGTGGGTTTGAACCCAGCTGGGGCCTCCTAAATAACGGTCAACTACACACACACACACACACACACAAAATAGCAGGGCGCTGTGCCAGGTGTGCCTGGTTGGGAGGCTGAGACAAGAGAATCATTTAAGCCCAATAGCTTGCGGTTGCTATGAGCTGTGACACCACAACACTCTACAGAGGATGACATAGTGAGACTCTGTCTCAAAAAATCCCCAGAACTTCTGCTCTTTTTTCCGCCTCCCAAGTAGCTGGGACCACAGGCGCCTGCCACAACACCTGGCTATTTTTTTTTGGTTGCAGCCATCATTGTTTGGCGGGCCCCGGCTGGATTTGAACCCACTACCTTAGGTGTATGTGGCTGGCACCTTAGCCGCTTGAGCCACAGGCGCCGAGCCATTTTCATTTATTTTTTATCTTCATTGTGTGGAGCACTCTGGAGTGTGGTGGTAGAATCACAGTTAACTGCAGGCTTGAACTCCTGGGCTCAAGTGATCCTTCCACTTTAGCCTCTTGAGAAGTTACTACTATCGGTCTGAGCCACTGTGTCTAGTCATATCTTGCATTTACTCTATCATTTATAATAGATAATTGCTATTGTATGGAGATAATTTGGTCGAGTTTGGATGAACTGAGAATAAATAGGGAACTTTGCTTTTGCTCAAGCAATCTACCCACCTCAGCCTCCCAGAGTGCTAAGATAATAGGCATGATCCACCACACCTGGGCTATTGTGATTTCATTTTGATAATCATGAGTATATATGAATGTGTGATCTACTAACTGGTTTATGTTTAGAAATTTATATGCACACCTATTTTTCTCTTTTTTGTACTGTAGGGAACTTAATTTGGAATGTCACTTGTTAATACTGGTTTTACTTTTTATATTCTCTTTCTCTCTTCCCCCCCCAAGAACTTTGACCAGAATAAGCTGGAAGAAGAAATGAGAAAGCGAAAAGAACGAGTAGAGAAGTGGCGTGAGGAGCAACGTAAAAAGGCCATGGAAAACATAGGAGAACTGAAAAAGGAAATTGAAGAGATGAAACAAGGGAAAAAATGGAGTTTAGAGGATGATGATGGTATATTTATAGCCTATAAACAACTCATATGGAGTATTATGAATTATGAGTAATAGTTCATGTTAGGATTTTTTTTTAGTCTTTTTAATTGTTTAGAAAATATATAATGTATTTATAATTTTAACACGTTAGGTATATGATTCGGTGATAATATGTACATTCGATATTATGTAGCCATTATTATTGTTTCCAGAACTTTTTAAAAATCTTAAATAGAGGCTCGGCCATGATGCCATGATGCCAAGCCTACCCAGCTAGAGTCTCCGTCTCAAAAAAAAAAAATCTCAAATAGAAACTGTATCCATTGAGTAGCTCCCCATCCTGCCTCTTGGAGCCTCTACTTTGTGTTTCTATGAATTTACCTATTCTAGGTACCTTATTTAACTGGAAACGTATAATCTTTTTTTTTTTTTGAGACAGAGCTTCAAGCTGTCCCCCTGGGCAGAGTGCCATGGCATCATGCTCACAGCAACCTCCAACTCCTGGGCTCAAGCGAGTCTCCTGCCTCAGCCTCCCAAGTAGCTGGGACTACAGGCGCCTGCCACAACACCCGGCCATTTTTTGGTTGCAGCCATCATTGTTGTTTGGCGGGCCCGGGCTGGGGATTCGAACCCGCCACCTTAGGTGTATGTGGCTGGCGCCTTAGCCGCTTGAGCCACAGGTGCCGAGCCTCTGTTTCCAATTCTTTAGGGTATATACCTAGAAGTAGAATTGTTATAGATGCCCCTTTTCATATTTATGTTAAAATTTAAATTGGTAAGGTGTTAATTTAGTAAACATCATGGAGTTTACATTCCAATGAAGAGTTGAGTGCTTAGGGACATAGTCAGTAAATAGCTCTTTAATATCTTACTACCAGTGTGAATGTTAGTAATGAGAGTAAACTAAGGGCATGTTTTCAAGTCTCATTTTTCACAATGTTAGGACAGAAATATTTTCCTTTTTTTTTTTTTTTTTGAGACAGAGTCCCAATGTGTTGTCCTTGGTAGAGTACTGTGGCGTCACAGCTCACAGCAACCTCAAACTCTTGGGCCTAAGTGATTCTTTTGCCTCAGTTCTCCCAAGTAGCTGGGACTATAGGCGCCTGCCATAATGCCCGGCTATTTTTTTGTTGTTGTCATTATTTTTTAGCTGGCTCAAGCTGGGTTCGAACCTGCTAGCCTCTGTGTGTGTGACTAGTGCTGTAATCACTGTGCTATGGGTGCCAAGCTAAAGTTTTCCTTTCATACCTGGTTTTGACTTTTGAGGTTTTAGCGAAGTGGAAGATTGTAGAATTTTATAGAAAAATGGAATTTTGTGCGTGGTGCCAATAGCACAGCAGTTGCAGAGCCGACCACATGCACGGGTTTGAACCCAGCTTGGGCCAGCTAAACAACAGTGACAAGTGCAACAAAAAATAGCTGGGCGTTGTAGTGGCTGCCTGTAGTCCCAGCTACTTGGGAGGCTAAGGCAAGACAATTGTTTGAGCTTAAGAGTTTGAGATTGCTGTGAGCTGTGATGCCACAGAACTCTACCCTGGGTGACATAGTGACACTCTATCTCAAAAAAAAAGAAAAATGGAATTTTGGTTAATTTTCTGTGAATGTTCTGAAGAGGAGATTAAATAGATGTTTCCAATAAGTGGCCTTGATGTCTTACATAAAAAATATTAGATTGTCTTGAAGTAAGAGTGATGTGCTATTTTTTTCTGTTTGAAAGAAACATAATTGAAAGAAAGGAAATACAGTTTTCTGTATTTCTTGACAAAAAAAACTAGGATGACAAAACAATTAGGAATGATACCAACCTCCACACAGTTAAAAATCCACATATAACTTTTGACTCCCTTGAAACCTAACAAGTAATAGCCACTGTTGGTTCAAAAGCATTATTAGCATAGAGTTGGTTAACACACATTTTGTTTGCCATGCATTTTAAATGTGTATTCTTATTTTAAAATAAGTTAGAAAATATGTTATTATGGGAATCATAAGAAAAAAATATATTTACCATTCATTATGTGGAGGTGTTTATCTTTGTATTGAGCAGGCTGAGGAAAAGTTGGGAGGGGAGGGGTTTGTCTTAGTGTCTCTAGAATAGGAGAGATGGAGGAAAATGCCTGTGCAAGTGAACATAGGCACTTGAAACACCATGTTCAAGGGTCACCTGTAATTAAAAATGTCATTAAGCAGAGAAAGTATTTAGTTTGGTGTCTAGCAGCATAGCTTTAAAACCTAGTATTGCAGATCCATTTTTTATATTATTTCTTTTTGCTCTTTGCAACTAAATACATTTCATTGGCATTTATTTTATCTTTTTTATTGTTAATTTTCAAAATTACATGCTTGATGTAAGCATGTAAAAACTTTAAAGTATGAGCATTTGAACTGCACCCTGGCTGGAATAGTTTAGAAAGGTAGTGTTTGGGCAGAGGGAGAAAAGATTACAAAGGTGGGATGTAGATTGATTATGTGGTTTTTTGCCTTTTGAGACACATGTTCACAGAAAGTATATTCTGGTATTTTAGATGATGAAGATGATCCTGCAGAAGCTGAGAAGGAAGGAAGTGAAATGGAGGGTGAGGAGTTAGATCCATTAGATGCTTACATGGAAGAAGTGAAAGAGGAAGTAAAAAAGTTTAACATGAGAAGTGTGAAAGGTGGTGGTGGAAATGAAAAGGTTTGGAATTTTCTCTTATTTTTAAAGATTTGTATTTGTACTTGGATAACTTGAATTCATTGTTGCATTGTCCGCAAAAGAAAATATCACACAAATGTGACATTGTGTGACATTTTCTTTTCCTCATCTCAGATATGGCAGTAATTTTTCTAAGTAGCAGAAATATTGGTAAATTTTAGCTGTAAATATTCATTTTAAAGTTTTCTCACCACTATTATATTTGTTCAGTATCTTTGCTTATGTGGTACCTTTTCAATTAATCTTGAGTTTGGGTAAGATGGCTCATGCCTGAAATCCTAGCATTCTGGGATTACAAGGTGGGTAGATTGCCTGAACTCGAGTTTAAGATCATCCTTGCCAAAAGCCTGTTTCTGCTAAAAATAGAAAAACTAACCAGGCATTGTGGCAGGTGCCTG